CACGGTAAGAGATAGATAAGATTTTAAATCATTGCGCCCATTACGAAAAGATAAATTTTACAAATACAACCCCCCCCCCGAAATTTTAAATCTACCCCCCTAATATTATTCTTACAGGTGCATAAGTCTAAATCACGTTTACCCATTCCTAGATTAACTGGTGTGGCTAAGCCATGAGACTGTATATAACAAATGTTTTTATTTACATCTGATTAAGACAGATGTTTTGTTGTGATTGTAAATAAATTATTAACTTTTTGAATGGATGAAATAAGTGTTCTTTTTTCTTGTAACTTAAACTAAATTGAATCCATAGAACTAATCACATTCCTAACTTATATTTAGTAATTACCAAAGAATCTTGAAACTAAACTACTAAACTTTACTCAACTAAATTTATAAATACGCTTCCACATTAAAACAACTTATTGGACAAGACATAACTCAATCCGCAATCCAAATTTCGCGTCATGGTAGCAGAGCGTGGTTTGCTCCCTGGAGGGGGGGATTTTACGAAAGACTAATTGCTCTAGTCAAAAGGTGTCTGAAAAAAGCTATTGGACTACAAAAATTGAACTACACACAATTGGAAACTGTTCTCGTTGAGTCTGAGGCAATTATAAACTCCAGACCACTTGTCTATACATCCTCCAGTGAATCATGTGTAGCAGATGATATAATTACTCCAGGACACTTTTTGAATTTCCACGGGAAAAATGAAGTTTTAAGACAGACAGTTGAAGATAAAAGATTTGATACTACCTTTCAAAAGGAGAGTTCAACCATGAAAAGGCTTTTGGAAGTTTGGAACAAAGGTAACTCAATATTAGATTCTTTTTCGAGACATTGGCAAACAGAGTATTTAATCTGTCTGCGAGAAAAACAAAACCATGAAATAAAACAAAAGAAAGGTACTTCAAAACTTATTCCACAGATCGGTGACATCGTATTAATCTCTGAAGACCTACCTCGTGGGAGATGGAAGATGGGTACAATTGTAGAACTTCACATTAGCCGTGACAAAGAAGTAAGAAGTGCAACTGTAATGTTGAAAAATAAGAAGAAGGTGGTACGACCTTTAAGCTTACTTTACCCCCTGGAAGTAAATTAGTGAAGAAGATAAGTTTAACTTTTGTGTTCCGTGGGAGTGTGGCTAAGCCATGAGACTGTATATAACAAATGTTTTTATTTACATCTGATTAAGACAGATGTTTTGTTGTGATTGTAAATAAATTATTAACTTTTTGAATGAAAAACTAAACTGGATGAAATAAGTGTTCTTGTAACTTAAACTAAATTGAATCCATAGAACTAATCACATTCCTAACTTATATTTAGTAATTACCAAAGAATCTTGAAACTAAACTACTAAACTTTACTCAACTAAATTTATAAATACGCTTCCACATTAAAACAACTTATTGGACAAGACATAACTCAATCCTCAATCCAAATTTCGCGTCAACTGGATATCTGATATTTTGCACGATTGTAGGTCTTGTGCCCTGTCCCCAGTGGCTCATTAGTACTTACCCCCAACCAAAAAAGGGGGCCTGGGGGCGGAGCCCCCAGCGAGCCAAAGGCGAGTCTAAATAACTATATATATAACTATACAGCCCGATGTGTAACTCACTGACAGGGGATACAAATTCTAGACCACTTCTAGAGGTGCTAGAGATCTGGAATTTGGCACGATTGTCCATCTTGGTGCTAAACCCCCGGGAAAATTGTAAAAAGTTGCATTTTTTAATTTTAACCCCCCCATATTTAAGAATTTCCCCCCCAATGTTATTCTTATGGGAAATAACATTGAAAAATTCCGACTTTGGTATGCATTTGTATGCACTTTGGTATGCATTTGGTATGTATTCTTTGAAGAGATCTTTTGTTTGGCTGGAGTGTTGTAAAATTTTCAAACCAGAGCTTAGGAGATTGTTTATTTTTGATGATAGGCCAGGGTGGTAGGTTGTAATTAGGTTAACTGATTCAGCGTTCTTTTGCGGTTTCGGTTTCTGGTGTTTGAAATTGTTAGTGGCTGCATTAATTTGGGATTTGACAAGTGCAGGTGGATATCCTCTCTTCTCAAAGGCAGTCTGGAGCTTTTGGTTATAATTATGGGCATCCTCTTCCTTACTGTATCAGGGATCAGGCCTCCGGATCAACAGTCCAGCCAAACAAAAGATCTCTTCAAAGAACCTCTCCGTCTTGTGTACAGACAACCTCCAAACCTGAAGAACATGCTCGTCCGACCGAAACTACCTGATCCTTCCACCAACCTACCAGAACCACTCCCCCAAGGCTCATATCCATGTGACAATAACAGATGTAAGACCTGCAATATTCATAAGCCAGTCACTACCTTTTCCAGCAATACTCATAATTCATAGTACAGAATCAAAGGCCACCACACCTGCACCACAGAAAACCTAATATATCAACTGGAATGTCAACAATGCCAGGCCCAATATATAGGCATGACAAAAAACACCCTAAGAGAAAGAATGAATGGCCACCGCCAAGATGTCAAAACGGGTAAAGAAAAACCTGTGGCCATCCATGCCAACAATCACAACATGGACTTTGATAGTTGCTTCACAACTAAAGTAATAAAATCCCTTCCAAAGGATGAATGCAACCCTTCCATGTTAAGAAGGTGGGAACTGGCATTCCAGTATATAACCAACTCCAGAACTCCCCCCAACCTTAACCTAAGATAAACCTGTCCAAGCAGCTAGCTAAATACATAATAGGCCTAGTTTGTATATAAAATATTATATGTGTGTGTATATATAAAGTTGTGTACATAGTTGTAAATAGACTAATGAGATGTGGCAACCCTGCATAGTTGACAACAGCCATCAGCCATGACAGCAGCGGTGGGACACACGGGAGGGACTAAGGCTAACATATCTTGTAGTGTCAGCGTTCGCCGCTAGAACCGCTAAGTTGAAAAAATTTAATTTATTTTTATTTTTAGTTATAAAATTAACTTTTTAATTATAAAATATTGTTTTAAAACTATAAAAAATTTTTTTTAAAATAAATTTATCATAACATAACCTAACCAACCAGACTTGCTGATAATATAAAAACTGTATAGTATAAGATAAAAATCTAATTAATGATTACTTATAATTTTTAATTAATTATAAAATTAATTTTAAAATTTAGTATTATAAAATTAAACTGTCATAACCTAACCTAACCAACCAAACTTGCTGATATGAAAAATTTGTTGACAAAAAGTTAGTGCTACCAGCAGGATTCGAACCCGGGACCTCCTGAACACCAATTCGAAACGCTACCAACTACGCCACGAACGCCGCTGAAAACTCATTGTTCCGTTACGGTAATCGTGTTGCCTCAAGAGTATACATTAGCTACTAGAGATATGACGTCACTACACCTTTAGCCTTAGTCCCTCCCGTGTGCCCATTCCATGACAGCAGCCATCTTGTAATTTATAAACTCTCTCTACACTTGACAAAGTCCCTTAGGGGACGAAATATTGTGTGCAAAATATTTTTCTACTTGTTCTATGGCCTACCCACACTTTCAAGGTAAGCTAGCTGCTATCCTCCTTTTTTCTACCATTTAAATAAGGAATAAATGTGATAATTTTAACGAGACATTTTAGTGTAGGCTAAATCCAATCAGGTAAATGGAAATTCGCTTAGTATGCAGGTTTGCTGCGGCGGGGGTATTTCAACTAACTAATAACTTCTTTCAGTTACTTTTTAAACTAACAAACTAATAACTTTTATTAGTTACTTTTTACGGGACTAACTAATAACTTCTAACTAGTTAGAATTTTTGATTAACTTTCCCAACTATGCTCGTACACATAAAAAAAAAACCCGCTCAATATGGGGTGGGCAATAGAGGGTTAAAGGATTAACCATTGATTATATACTCACAAAGTGTTTTTATAGTCAATGATATTATACACTATGATCAGCAAGTTATCAAACTCTTGAGCTGCTAATGAAATGTACATAAACCCTATCACGAGTTGGACAACGTGAGTTATACTAGTACCATGGACTATATACACTCAATGTGTATTACATTTATATATTCAATGCTTGTACCATTTGGTAACATTGCCCTCGATCTGACAATATGGCGGCAAGTGATAAGCCTCTATCATTCAACTAGAGTTCTGTTCTACTAGTTGTCACCTGTCGTCGCCAGTTGAACAGGACAACAAGTCAACACATCATTCGTTGTGAAATGTAAAGGCACGCTATTTTGGATTATAAAACTATTACGAATGTGAGTTAATAAACTTGGAATTACTTATATTAGCTGACTTCAGAGTAAAAAAAAAAAAAAAAAAAAAAAACTATGATGTGCCACTTTTTTTAAATATTAGTTGAGTTTAGCATCATAATTAACCTCACTTTTCATAATCGGTATCTAGTACAATGAAGCGAAGTATCGAGTATTGGCGATTCGGTATCAAGAATCGGAATCGGCCCATCCCTAATCAAGATACAAACACTGAGACATGGCCTTGCCATATAAATTGTTTGCATCAAGAATACACTGAGATATGGCCTTGCCATATAAATTGTTTCCATCAAGATATAAGGTACGGTATACTTTTTTGGGAAGTTTGAGTGAGCTGTGAATTTGAACTTCAGTTTTTATAACTGAAATGATTTAAATATCACAATAGCGCAGTAATCATATTGTAGTTTATGTATATAAAAATGCAAATTATAACTTCAACCTTAATATTTATTTATTAAGTACTTGAACGTCAAACTATCCAAATCCGAACCTCTAATTATCCGATCCGAACCGAACTGAGCCCTAACTATCCAAACCTAATCCAAACTGAACTGAAATTTCACTATCTGCACACCTCTATAAATTATTCAAATTCAAAGCTGAGCTATAGCATGAGATTGATAATAACATGCTTACATGAGAGAGATAATTTTTTGAATAAAAAAAGTTACAGCTTGAAATATTGTTGGTCTAAGGCCACTTACGCAGTAGATGGTCGTACAATGTAGTGTGCAGCTGCTCGGGTGTCAGCCACCGGGTGAGAGCACCCAGACACCCGGCCGCAGCTGACCTGGTTATGTCCTCTGGGTGTGCTAACATACCCACCAACGTCTGGTACACCTGTTTGCGTAGAGTGGGGGTCATCTTGTCACCAGCAGGCGTGATCACTCCCCGCAACGCTTGCAGCATTGTCTCTCTATAGGCACAGCAGACATTTAGTGATAAAAAATACACCTCAGGACATGCTAAACTTGATTTTCTTTCAAACATCTAAGGAACTGCGTGATAACGAGGGAAACAATTTGTGAATTTCAATTACAGTAGAACCCCTCTTATCCGGACTCTTCGAGACCGAGGCCAGTCCGGATAACAGGTTTTCCGGTTAAACCGACGTCCCCAAAAACTCGTTAAAACGGTTTACTGTGATATTTGACTTAAATTTAGGAGAGCATTGTATTTAGACACGTGATCACTGGTCTCAAATCTTTCCCACAAGAACAGTCGTTTCAGTACTGCCCACTTCCTGCCGATCTAGTCCAGTTAAACCAATGTGCTGATAAAAATTGTCCGGTTAAAAGGTGTCCGGATAAGAGGGAGTCTACTGTAGTCTGATTGGATTTCAACTCAAATGTTTCCGTGATCAAGTCATATTTATTCCCCATTTAAAAACATTATCAGATTTAACAAGTACTAAGGTTTGTTACTACGTAGAAGAAAATACCCCCGCCGCAGCAAACCTGCAGACTAAGAAAATTTCAACTTGTCTGATAACATTATTACTAAAATATTTCCATAAATAAGACAAATTTATTCCCTATTTAAATAACATTCGATTTAACGAGTGCTTATGTTTGACGTAAGCCTGTTTGACGGGGAAGGTAAATAGTGTTTTTTGACCATATGTCAATAGTATAGGATGAAATAAATAAATTTGCCAAATTTTATCAACATATATCCATAAACAAGTACACTACAACAGTTTAAATTTTATCCATAAGAATAACATGAAAATTTTGAATTACACTATTTTTGAATTTTCTCTGTGACTGTTAGCCATACAACAACACTTCAATATACTAAATTATTTCTTTTAAGCTCTACAAAACGGTTTGAAAAGAAATTGCAAAATTTGTTGTTTTTAGCGTCAAAAATGGGTAGGTTTACACGTTTGTACCAAATTTCATCAAAATCGGATCATTTTTGCTCGAGCTATCGCGCTAACGCACACATATATCATCATACTAATATTATAAATGTGAAAGTTTGTGTGTTTGTTTGAAGTTCAATCACGCTTTAACTACTCAACGGATTGGGCTGAAATTTGGCATAATGATAGCTCACATTCCCGTTTAACATATAGGCATATTCTTATCTCAAAAACCCTTTCGGGCTCCACCCCAGTGGCTCTGTAGCTCCCCATGTTAACCTTATGAGTATTCATATTTAATGAAGAATTAAAGAATTTAGTCAGCTGTTTCAACTAAAAAAGTTGGTTCTATGATATGCAAAAGCATTAAAAAGTTATAAGATTTACCAACAGAGTGCAGCACTATTTTTTTTCATTTATGAAAACAACTAATTTGAACAAGCAGCAACAAAAAACTGCAACATATAAAAAACTGATAGGCAATGAGAACTGTCAAAGTAGGATTGTTTACAGGCATGTTTATGTTTTGCAGATTTTTAATAATTTATTTGTCACTATTGTTTAGGAGAAGTGGTAGAACATTATGGCTATGGTAAATGTGTAATACTATAGTATACCGTAAATTTAAAGAAGCAAATTCTATCAAACTGTGTCCTCCCCCATTGCAAACGCAAAACTTGAGTATAACTGCAATAAGCATTTTATACTAGATGCCAACCCCGTACGAAGGACAGGTTCTCTGCTAGTAAACATCATAATTGTGAAAGTTTGTGTGTTTGTTTGTTTGAAGTTCAATCACGCATTAACTACTGGTCGAATTGGGTTGAAATTTGGTGTGATAATAGCTCACATTCCTGATTAACATATAGACATATTCTTATCTCATAAATCCTTTCGGGCTCTGCCCCAGTGGCTCTGGAGTTTCCCATGTTAAACTTTTGATTATTCATATTCAAAATGAATGTTTTTACACTATGTATGTAAAAACCTATTATTGTCTTAAATTTTTTATCTTAAATACTATGACGAGTGAAAAATTCCAAATTTTAATCCGTCTACCTGATTGCAGGGTCCTCGGCAGACTTGACTCCAGTATGTAGTTCACTGAACAGAGGGTCAGCGCGGGTGTGGATCACTATCAGATGACCAAGCGCAGCCGCAGCCTTGAGTCTCACTTGTCTGTTGGCGTCGTTCAGTGCTTTGAGGAAGGTTGTCTGCAGTTGGGGCAGAAACTGCTTCAGCATCACTCCAACCTGCAAACAGTGCAGCACAAACATTAGTGGTGACAACTATGTATCATATGTATTTGATGGTGAAACAATTATGTTTGTAACAAAAAGTCCTTAAGCTACTGTATTTAAGGTTAGTTTTTGGAGGAAGAACACTAACACTATTGGCCTAGGAATACACTAAGCGAGAAGGAATGGATACACAATTAACTTACAGCACAATAAAAGTTCACATTAATATTAATCGCACCTTTTCTACAACTTACTTCTAAAAAGGTCCCCTTGTAGGGGCGAAAAATCAAATTTATTGGGATAAGAACTTTTTGTGTGCTATTAACTGCATGGAGCTATTTTATTAGGTAGTTGTGTATTCATTTCTTCTTCCTTAATGTATAAGCTACTGTATTGTGTAATAATAAGGAGTAAAACTATTAAAAGTTTTCCAATTCATTGATTTTTAGGTGTCTTTTCTCCGGCTCCGGTGCTTGGAGCAAAAAAAAAAAAAAAAACTCTGACACAAGACACATAGCCTAAATATACTAACATTGGGGATTTTTTTATGTTGCTTTTAACACATATACATTAGCAACCATAAAATAAATTGTAAACAATAATTAAAATCCAAACACAGCAAATGTTTTCTAAACAAAACCGCAGTTAAAGACTTCATTCATTGCATCCAACCGTGTACACAGATAAACCAATCAAAAGGTGTTTTTAGACATACGGCAAGAGGGAGGTTTTGAGGTTACAGGTTTTGATTACCTTAGCCAAAAGTAGAGCCAGTGTTTCAAGAACTGCCGCTTTTACACTCCAATTGAACCTGAAAGGATACAACTAATTCAGTCACTGACAAATGATAATTTATTAAAATATATGTACATAATTCAATTCTGTTTTACAGTATTCAAAAATGAATTAGCTATCCATTCTAAAATAATTGTCAAATTATTACATGGTTAAGTCTTTTAGATTAAATTGTATAACAAATTGTGTATGCTTTAGTGATGGTCGGATCCGAGCTAGAACCGACGCCCGATCGGATCCACAAAAAATCGGATCTTGGGCTGGATCTGGTTTTAATGGATCCGATTTTTTTTTATACTATTAACACAAAACGGGCGGGTATTCGAGATTTCGAGTTCGAGTAGAGTACGGCCTTGAAACTCGAGCATATCTTTGAACTCGCCAGTTTGGTTTAGAATTGTAAAAAATCAATATTTGTAAAAATGTAATTTGTGTTTACATAAAATGATGGATAATTTGCATTACTGTAGATTCTACAGTAATACAAATATAGAAATAAGCAAGAGGTAGTTGTCCTAACCTATTTTTATAGCTGTCACGACAGAATAGGTCAACCACAGCCACCTCTAATACAAGGCAGCGGCGAGCGAAAAGTGGCAACGTCGCATCCGTGTCTTGATGCGCGGTCGTCTTACCATTACAGTGAATGGAGGAGTCGCGTACTTGACGTACATAATCACGTTTCTACTACCCTTAATCATTAGTAATGACATTGAACTTGTTACTACAGCATGCCAGATAGATGTGATGTGCCTGGATGCAAGAATAATTACAAAAGCTCAATTAAAAATGAATAATACATACAGTGTTCTAAGATTCTGCTTGATCCACCGCATAAGCAACAATAGCTTCCTGCTATTCTTCGGTCAAATTAGACATCTTAAAACAATTCTCGTTTTGTGTGAAACATTTTCACGAATATGAACTTAAATTTGTAAAAAAAATGTAAGAATAAGACAATGATTTGTGTAAATATATACGCCAGAAGCGAGTTTTAGGTATGAGAAAGCCGTACTATTTCCTTGTTTATTTGTCTATCTATTGATAAAAGCTGTTGTTAAGTGATTAAAATAACTTAAATAACTAGCACTTCGAAGAAATAAACCGGTGTTTCTGTTAAGTAGGCCTACTAGTAAAAAATATGTACTACACCATCTAACAATTAAAGCATCATATTCTTCCACTCCAGTCTGAATGTTGATGTGATAAAACAATTCTATTAATATCCTGGAAAGCCATATGGAGGCCTAGCTTCTGAAATCGTTTATAAAATGAAAAACGTTTTGCTTAGTAATTATTCAAAGAAAATAAATTATTTATAGTCAGTATGCCTTCAAAATGAAAACTTCAAATTTTGTTTTCGCTAACTGATGGTTTTCTCAGGTAGACTAAAACATAATATTCCTATTGAAAATTGAAAATTAATTTTATTTGAACAAATTGTTAGATGTTAGTCTCTACAAATCCCAAAGTCTCTACAAATATTGAAGTGGCAATAAGTTAGTCAGTCCTACTGTATTACCATTCTTGGTATATGTAGTATTCTTTATACTGTATATTATCAGCTGTTGTCATTAATTACAAAACAATGTTTACCTTTTCAATTTGCAGTTGTAAATATTACTTTCAATAAAAGAGTTTATTCAAATGCGTGCTTATTATGAACTCTAATTCAAAGTCACAACAATTGGCGACGAGAAAAAGTTTTTCAAAATTTCTACTCATTATTTGGATTTAAAACCTTTTCTAAATTTCGATTTTGTTCATTATGGATGCAGAACAATTTACAGCACTACTGAAAGCATTCACTGAGAGCCAAGTCACACTTGCAGCTACACTTGCAAAGAAGATTACAGAAAAACTTCAACTTCAACCTCCAGTACAACAGAGTAATACGTTAGTAAGTATTCAACCATTTGAAAATTTCGATCAGAAAAAGGAAAAATTTAAAAACTATTTGGAACGCTTTGAAAATTATCTTGCAAAAACATCTCAGATGAAAGGAAAAAAGCACAACTTCTTTGCGCTTCAATTGGCTCTGTTCACTACAATAATCTTTCATCATTAATTGGACCTGAAAAACCTATCAAAGACCTAGATTTTGCTACTTTGGTCAAATCACTACGTGACATGCTTTCACCACACAGAAACGTTGTAGTTTCACAACATTACTTTTTAAACACTTATCAAAAAGCAAATCAATCAATTCCTGAATACATAGCTTCACTACAGAAAGACCTGTCTGAATGTGAATTTACAGTCCAATGTGAATGTTCAAAACAAGTTTCAGTCTCAGATACATTTTTAAGAGCTCAATTCATAAGAGGCTTAAAAGATGACTGGATTCGAGAACAGTTATTACAATCAGACACTACTTCATTCAAAGACATTGTAACCAAAGCTACTGCTTTGGAAGCTTCCCGATTAGAGACCCAGGCTTTGAACAAACATCAGCATTCAATTCCAACTGATGTAGATATCAATAAACTTTCAAATGTAGGTACAAAACATCAGAGAAGTCGTTCAAACTACCGTAAGAATCCAAATTCTGGTCATACTAATCGTTCTCAATCAAAAGTAGATTTCAATCGCCTAGGTTTTGGAGATCTTTGCTTTCGATGCGGTAGAAATAATCACCGCGCAACTGAGTGTCGCACTAGCAAGTCATCACTTCGTTGCACTTCCTGTTCGAAACAAGGCCATGTAGCCAAAGTTTGCATTTCAACCCAAATGAAAAATAAGTCTTCTACCAATCAATCTAAGTTCAATTCAACAAAGTACATTTCTTCAACCTCTGATGAGATTCCGCTAGGCTTAAATCAAATCACTGAAGTTCATCCAGTTACCAAACCTAATATCATAGACATATTTGACCAGAACGAACGATCAAATTTACCCGATTCACATAAGTATTTTGCTACAGTTTCAATTGATAACAAGCCAATGCGTTTTGAGATAGATTCCGGAGCAGGATTTACATTAATACCAGAAAAGGCTTTCAATGAGTTAAATCTCAACGTCAAACTTGACCCAACTAATGTGTATTTCCGTGCTTATACAAATAACTAGCAGAGTACCCGTCCTTCGTACGGGGTTGGAATATAAGTATAAAATGCTTATTGCAGTTATACTCAAGCTTTGCAATTGCAATGGGTGGAGGACACAGTTTGATAAAATTTGCTTTTTTTAAATTTACAGTATTCTATAGTATTACACATCTACCATAGCCATAATGTTCTACCATTTTACCTAAACAATAGAGAAAAATAAATGATCAATTCGCAAAATATCACAAATTATTCATGAAATGAAAAACATATACATAACTGTAAACAATCCTACTTTGACAGTTCTCATTGCGAATCACAGTTTTTTGTTGCTGCTTAGTTCAAATTAGCTGTTTTCATAAATGCAAAAAAAATATAGTGCTGCACCCTGTTGGTAAATCTTATAACTTTTTAATGCTTTTCCATATCATAGAACCAACTTTTTTTATATTCTTGAGTGTGGCAGATTGCGTGAAAATATAATAATAATATCTAAGTTCTTACCGTCAACGCAATCAGGAGTAATATTCCACTACGGCCGTTTCGGAGATGACTCCATCGTCAGGTGCGTAGTGGTACACTAAACTATAGTCTTGTCACATTTAACACGAGTTTTCTTCATTTGCATTGCGTCATGGGGTGAATAAATAATACACATATATGTACAGGACGGACACACGAAAACACGAATACACGAAAACATTTAGAGCACGTGCACGGCTTGAAAACTGACGACCGACTAGTTAGTGTATTCGTGTTTTCGTGTGTCCGTCCTGTACATATATGTGTATTATTTATTCACCCCATGACGCAATGCAAAATGAAGAAAACTCGTGTTAAATGTGACAAGACTATAGTTTAGTGTACCACTACGCACCTGACGATGGAGTCATCTCCGAAACGGCCGTAGTGGAATATTACTCCTGATTGCGTTGACGGTAAGAACTTAGATATTATTATTAACTTTTTTTAGTTGAAACAGCTGACTAAATTCTTTAATTCCCTTTAAATATGAATACTCATAAGGTTAACATGGGGAATTACAGAGCCACTGGGGCGGAGCCCGAAAGGATTTTTGAGATAAGAATATGCCTATATGTTAATCGGGAATGTAAGCTATCATCATGCCAAATTTCAGCCCAATCCGTCCAGTGGTTTATGCGTGATTGAACTTCAAACAAACAAACAAACAAACAAACACACAAACTTTCACATTTATAATATTAGTAAGATGTATTTAAACCATTGGGCAAAGTTACAGTTGAGGTTACTTACAAAAACCATAAATCAATTGAAGATATGTATATAGTTCCTGATAATTGTCCAGCAGTCCTAGGAAGAGTGTGGATTCGACACTTACATATAAGTCTACAAGAAATAGATGATGGTTCAAATCAACCTAACTTTTTCAATGTCTCCGAAACATTTCATTCAATTGATGACATATTTTCTGAATTTTCCACAGTTTTTGACCATAGAATTGGATGCTTGCCCAACCACAAAGTTACACTTCAATTACGTGAAAACGCTAAACCTGTGTATACCAAAGAACGTAATGTTCCGTTTGCACTTAGATCTCAGGTTGAGGAAGAACTCAACAGTCTTGAATCATCCGGCATAATATCTAAAGTCGATGCTAGCGATTGGGGTTCGCCTTTGGTTATTATTCCTAAAGAAAATGGCACAGTGAGGTTATGCGTTGATTACAAAACAGGCGTAAATGATCGTCTTGTTTCATCTAATTTCCCGATCAAACACATTCCAGATGTTTTACACTGTTTGCGAGACTCTAAATATTTTTGCAAGCTTGATATTTACAAGGCTTATTTGCACATTCCAGTTGATGCCCCAAGCAGCAAAATTCAAACTATTACTACACACCGTGGTACATACTTGATGCACAGACTTAGTTTCGGAATCAAGACCGCGCCTACCGAATTCAATCGCATTCTAAGCCAAATTCTAAACG